ATTTCTAATGGATATGGTCCATTTCCTTTGATGGTGCAGTGTTCTGCATCAAGGTATGAATAAGCAACTGCCGAGTATTCTGGAAGGTTATTCGAAAACAATTGATTGTTTTCAAGCTCAAAAGAGCCTTCATCAACCCAATTATCACATGTATTTGATGTGTAAATTCTGGCCTTCTTGCCATCTTTGACGTATTTTGTATACTTGTTGCTTCCGGTGTAATAACATTTATCGAGTTGATAGACATTCACATATTCGTTGTAATTGGTCATGAGATATTCGGCTTGAGCAACAAATACAACAAGAAAGATGGAAATCATTTGATGCTTAATGTTTTATTATTCAAGTTTAAATAGTAAATGAACATTTTCATAAAGTTTATATATCGGATCAATAAAAGGTATTTTTGATTTGCCATAAACTTAATTTGTGTTGTTTGATATGATAATTTGTGAAAAGTTAATTATTCAAAAATGAACACAATAATAATAACAAAACGATGATATTAAGGTCATATCATTTATATTCTTCATTGTTGTTATAAATACACCTTTTGTAAATACAATGTTCAAAAATAAATAGTTATTTTGTCGAAAGTAATAATTTTGTTCATGTTAAATTACTATATTTTTTGAACTATTAATAACATAGTATTTTGAAAAGTATTTCAAAAAAGCTAAATAACCAGATTGTAAGATACATTTATTTTGATTTAATTTTTTTAAATTTAAACAATAAATTAAATAATTATTTAATGACAAGAAATTACTTTTTTATTTGTATTTAACTTTTCCAACTTATTTATAAACGTTAAATAAAAAAGTTTTAAAAAATAATCTAAATAACAAAAGCTTTATACAATTGTATTAAATTTAAATCATTTATAATAAATCTTTTCTGATTTATAATTATCATGTTCAATTTTTTATGTCAAACAAATTATACAATTATTGTGTTTAAGGGTTTCTTGAGGATAAGGTGTATCCTCAGGATTAAAGCTATCCCCATTAAAAAATATTTTTCTGAGGATACAAAAATCAAATCCATAAGGTTCAGTTCCCCATAAGGCCCACTCTCATAACTCAAGTTATAATTTACATTTAATATTTCGAGTCAAAGTTCGAATTTTAAATGATGGTAATAATTTGTCATAAATGCCAAAAGATTAAAAACAATCAAAAACAATCACCAAAATAATCAGTGAACAAAAACAATAATTATATCTCGCGAACTTGAGACGGGAAATAATAAAATGTGAATTATACTTGTTCATATTATGATTATAAACTTATTGATATTATTTTCGAATCCGTTATAATAACATAATAATTAAAATTTACGTTTAAATTGATAATTGTTTTTTTATCAAAATGAAAATTGAAAAAGTCGAAAACAATGATTTTCTAAAAATGTAATTTAAAAATAACAAATTTATAAATAATTTTGTAATTTATGCATTGTTCAAATTTATTATAATAACAAAGTTAATAATGTTGTGTATATTTTAATATGATTGTTTCATTTTGATATTAACTTGTGTTTTAAACAGATTTACAGTTCTGAGGATGGCAATTATTTTC